ATCATTCCATTCCTTTCCATTGGAAATGATAAATAGAGTTATTATTAGCATATTTTAATAATAATTATTATTATTATAACAACAATAACAACATTGCCAACACCTATTTATCTAGAATATGTGAGGCACTATTTTGGGGCTTTATCTCATTTGATCTTTACAATCTTATAAGACACATATCCTATTATTGTTGTCATTTTAGAGATGAGGAAACCGAGGCTCAGCAGGTTTAAATACATGACTAACTATACACAGCTCGTAAAATCTGCTTCCAGAAAGCCAAATTCCAGAGCTCTAGCTTTTGGCTTCCGTGTCGTACTGTCTGATTTTTTTTTCTCCACTGGCATTTTGCCACTGAAATAGGAGCAGCAAAAGCTTTAGAGAAAGGGGAACCTCTGAAGATATGACAGAAACAGAGGTGCATAGCAGACAAATGCCAGAGTGACAGAAAAATCTTCTAGTTAAAAAATCAGTAGTTCTGGGCAATAACAATAGTTCTTTCAATGACTGAGTAGCCTTAAGGCCCTTTTATACATTATTCTTTACTTCTTTCCTGTATAATGTGGATCATGCTTCATGTTTTCCTCCCAGCATAGCTACAAGAGCAAAATTATACACTGGATATGAAAGCAATTTGAAGACTATAAAGCAGGATTCAAATTATAGGTTGATTGATTATTTTAGTAATGAAGTAATATTAATTTATTAAAAACATTGGTTCCTGTAGTAGTTTCATTTTACCAAGCATGAACCTGAACCATAATGCTTCAAGTTATTTATGTTGACGCCTTAACTCTCTTTCTACCTCAGAAATGCTCCCTTCTTCAAGAAGTCTTGCTCCTCCATGCACTGAGCTTATGCCTTTGCTTATGGGTTTATTTATTAGTTCATGTGATTGTCCTTCCAAGTAGACGGTGAGTCCCTAGAGCCTATTTTATTAAACTTTTTATCTTCTATCAGAGTTCACTAAACAGATACATAGCAACTGATATAGAATGAATATAATCCAAGAAGACAGAGATTATGTTTCCCATAAGAGGCATTTACATTGCTAAATGTATACATTAAGTATCTAATATTTAAAGCACCCACGACATAGTATTGGCAGATTACAAAGAAGTTTGTCTTTGACTTGTGCAAATCTATTCTGAAAAGCAGGCATCTTTCTGACAAGAACTAAATCAGGAATGTGCCCATAAAGTAAGGGGACTAATTTTCACTTGTGATTTGTAAAATCAATCTCCTCATTTTACAGTCATACTTTGTAAATTAAGATGATTGCCTAGATGTCTTACAGCAGTGCTTAGAGCTTTGATGAGTAAATCATATATATAAAGACAGATTAGTTATTTTGCTGAAAGTGACACTAAAAATAAAATGTGGCCTTCTGGAAGACATACGGTAAATAGGTAGCGCTGAACACATTAGAAAGCTCATTCTTAAAAATAAAGAACATGGGAAGAAAATATAGTGTATACCAGCAAATAGAAAAGAAAGCATACAAATGACTGCCCAAAGTTAATGGTTGTGAACAGGACATGTCTAATATTAAAGTCTTTTATGCTAAAAGTATTTATGAAAGAGACTGAATGAATAGTTAAGAGCAGAATTCCCATGCATTGAAGATCTTTACTTCAACCTTCTGGATTCCTCATTGAATAAAAATTTAAATTTCTTACTATATGGAAAAATTATGTTCTCATCTCCAAAAATTGACAATAAACTATTTAGAAATTCTCTTGTCTGAAAAATACTCCTACATTTAAATTTATCTAAATTGACATAAATGATAAAAATTAAGAAACGCTAAGAAGTCTCTGAAGGGTATATCGCTACACTAAATCACACAAACGTGATTGTATGTTAAAGAGTGATGAAAAAACTACATTCTGAAATAAAAAAAAAAAAAAACTACATTCTTAACTCAGCCCTAGCAGGAAATGTGTTTCAAAAATTCAAATTTCTAAATTCTTCACAACCCTTTGGAGAGTTTATAATCTTATAATCTTACTCCTGGGAAAATTTTTAAAAATACCATACAAAATTAAAGTGTAACATGTGCTATTATTTTGTAATGTCATTTATCTGATCAACATTACTGCTAAACTAAGGATTCATAGCTCAAGGTATAAGTATTACATATTTTGTATTAATATATTGAGCACTATGTACACATATATGAAAAGAATCAATATAAAGATTTCATTGCTTAAATATAGCACTCTAAGGCCAGGTGCGGTGGCTCACGCCTGTAATCCCAGCTACTTGGGAGGCTGAGGCAGGAGAATCACTTGAGCCCAGGAGTTTGAGGCTGCTGTGAGCTAGGCTGATGCCACAGCGCTCTAGCCCAGGTGACGGAGGGAGACTCTGTCTCCAAAAAAAAAAAAAAAATAGCACTAAAATATTGCTAAAATCATCTTGCTTGCATCATTCTAAGAGGAGAGTGAAGAGAAAACTTCTGTAATCACTAAAGAACCGGGGCTCTGCCTACATCCTTCTCCTAACTATGAATGGTGTGGGTACCACTCTGATGGTACAACCACTAGCTTTGTGATGCTTCATTATATTCCACGACAACAGTACATCTAATTATAGTCGAAGTGTTGAGGTCAAAGTCCCAATTATGGCATCACAGAAAGCATTTTACTGGGTATTTTTCATACCCAGTCATTAATATTATCAGGTGTTAGTAAGTGGTAAGAAGTGAGAGCAATAGATTCTAGGGTATTAGTGATAATTTAAATTGGTGGTCCACTTTGAATAGTGAAGACAATATAGATACTCTGATTATCCTACTCTGTGCAAGATAACACAAGATGTTGTGACTTTGGAGGTTAAGGACATGTGCCTCTCCCCCAGTGTACTAGTTGTACACAATGATCCATCATGGATTTATCATTCATCGATGTTATCTACAGCTTTTGCAAACTGAGCTATATTTCCAACCTAAAGTAATTCTTAGGATTATGGTTTTCATTAGTCTATAAGCATCTGTGTAAAAAAGGAAAATATAATATCCATGAGGAGGAAACTAGGCTGGACTATCTGGTATTTCTCCAGGTATGGATATTATATGTAAATATATATGTATTCTCAAACATGCACATGCATACACACGCACGTGCACTCGAACATATTTTGTCTTTTTAAACTGTGTTAACTTTTATGTGCCCACATGAAATCTTTACTAATTTTGTGGTTTGTTCTTTGTGTCTTCTCCTCAAACATTTTTCAGGGAATTTCCTAGAGGTTTTCCACTGTCAGTGTGGTGTTTCATTGCTTAGCTTGAAGTGGTTTCAGTATCTATAAGTTATTTCCAATATTTCAAAAATCCTAAATAATTTCCTATATTTCATAAATTATCTCACTGGCAACTTGAAGGTTCCCAATTTGAAGTTATCATGCCTTTAGGAGTCCACAAAGTTGTAATGCTGAATTTTTTTTCTGTCAATGAAAACAGCAATTTTATTGTCCATTGTGTTTTAAAAATAATATTTAAGGAACTATAACAAATAGTCCCAACATCAGTCTCTGGGGAATTCTGTCCCTTATACTGTTTCATTCAGAGAGGGGTTTAGAAATATATAACTATGTAAATAAATACACCAAAGAATAAATCATGGCAAGGAGCTCTAAACTCTCTCCTGCTTATATGTTCCAACACTTCCAAACAAAGTTGTTCATGTATAATGTTGCTAATAAATCTTTATTAGTTATACAAACAATTATAACTAGCCACAAAACCAAAGTTCTTGTAAAATAACTCTAAGGCTGCATTAATTGACAGGATTCAGAAAAGCAAGAGGTTTTTCTAGATTTTTACTTGATATTTTTACTCCCACAACTGAAACTCAGATCTTCAAAGGCACACTTGCACTTTCAAGTGAGAAGAAGCATTACTGCAGCATCTCCAACCAGTGTTAAAGATGCATAATGCAAATTCAATGAAACACGTAATGGCTCCAAAACCTTCTTATCTAATATTTAAATAAATAACATAGTTTTGCCTGTCAAGGTCAGAAATCCCAACTGTAATACAAATGGATACATAACAAAAATAGCCCTGGGTGCTGGGTCAATGTGCTTTTATGGAAGGGGATTTCTCCTGACCACTAATGGCAACAGTAACTGTTTACTGCACTGTACACAGTCTCAGGGAGTTCCTAACATACTGTACTGGTGTCTGATACCAGGGACTCCTGCATGTTCAGTTGAGAAGTGGAAATTAATCTGTGTTCTCCAATAGGGTTTATATCCACACAATCTTGAAATGCAGCTATTCAGTCACCAGAATACCTTTTTTTCCTAATTTTTCTTACAATGTCAGTTTTTAAATTTTTCTTTCAAACAAATGCAAAATAGAGTATAATTTCATATTGTTTATACAACATTCATGCAATGTGTTTAATGTATGAACTTATATAAACTGTCTTCATCATCTTTATCAACATTTAGCTGTAATATAAAGTGAATGAAATAAACTGTATAAAATATTCAAACCATTAGAACTGTAATTTAAACAGGTGTTTAAAACAACAAAATTACAGAATTACTACTTAATACCATTTACTTCATATATCATATATATCTCCCATTTTCCTTTATATGTATTTAAATTTACATTTAAATCATTATAATTATTGTTAGAGTGTATCACTGTTAGTAAGCCTACTCATAACTAAGGAAATAAATATTATAGAAAATCAACTGGGTAAAAATTGCTTTATGATTCCTTTTTAATTAAATGTGTTTACTTTTTACTTAATACGAAGAGGTTTTCTAAAAAGTAATTTGCTATTTATTTTATCTTTAGTCTATTGACTGCATAATATAGCTCACTTTGTTGCAACTCTGACATGCCTGTATGAAAGTATTTGGTACTGATTTAGGAACAATGGTAATTAATGATGAGGGAGAAGAAAAGAGAAAAGAAAGAAATCTTAATCTAGGGGGAAAAGGAAGCAGAGGCTTTCAAAAGCATTTACAGAACAATCACCTACCAGTTCTACTCGTCCGAAACCTCCAACTCCAAGGGTGTCAATGATGTTGAAATCAGACAGCTTCAGGTTGGCGAAGAAAGCAGCTTCGGCTTCATATCTGGATTTTTTGATGCGAAAAAATGGAAATTTCTTAGAGGTGCAAACACGAGTACCACGTACAACTGCACTGGAATGACATGACTGTGGAACAGGGTTTACCTGCTTACATTCCATCTTGCTTTTAGAGTCTGTGTTTTCTCACACTCATAATTTTTTGGTCCCAGTTGTGCAGAATAACAGAAATTTGCACTTGTTTTTCAAAGTACTATGGAAAAATACAAAGTACCCACTGCATGCCAGTCAAGTGACTGATAAATCCAGTTATCAAATCAAAGTTACATCTCGGTATTTTTCTACGCGTCTTCTTGTGAACACGGATTGTTTGAGTTGTTCTTTTTTGGTTTTGTTTTGGATTTTTTGGTTTTGCTTGGTTTTGTTTTTGCCGTTCAGATTTTGGGTTGCAGTTTCTCATTAGTTTCCCTTATCCTCGGGCTGGCAGCACCTCCTATAAATATTTATTAAAAGCGGCAAGATCATGGAGGTCTCTGAAGTGAAATCGCAGCCAGGTTTTTATGAAAACAGATCCGAAAAGCTGAGGACTGATGTACAAATGTCTGAAATGGATGATTTCTGAAGCAAAGTCACATTCCTAAAAGTGTCTTTCCTTCGTTTATGTTTACTCACTGACTCGGAGCCAAAACTCTCAGCTAGCAATCCCAGCGTCTTTATGACTGCAAGTTTCTTATACGAGCGGTGTGGAGAAGCATGAGCTACTGTTCCAAGAGTCTAACTATGCACACATGCAAATCTGATACATGCAAGTGGCCAAAATAAGCTTCTCCTGATGAGACAAGTGAATATGAGCTGCTTAAAATATCTCCTTGTGAAAGGCCTTACTATTTTTAGAAAGGGCAGGAAGGCATAAAGATGAAGATGATCTGCCCACTCACTGAAGTCAGATCAGGGAGTAATTCAGCTGTCTCAAATATACAGTATTTGAATAGCTATGCATAACCCATGACCCTCGGCCCGGCAATACCTGATTCAGTACCATACTATAGATAGAAATGATGAATGCACTGGAGGTTGTGATACTTACACAGCTTGTTTATGTCCATTTTGAAAAGAATCAGTCACAGGCATGTTTGGCATTAAGCTGTGTAACATTGTAGCTATTCCATTACAATCAAACACAAACTTAGACTCTCCAGTTAGGAGACATGGGAAACAGCTTTCTAGGTGAGATTTTAACATTCTTCAATTTAAAATTACAGTTCTAGTATTTTTTAAAAAGTCAATTGTTGACAGACTCCTCAGAGGGTACAAACAACATTGGTTTTCATTATCAGCTGATTATGTGAAATCAACTCCCTCTAATAAACCTAATAAGCCTCTATAAACAAGGCTGTTAGTCAATCCTAATGCTATTTGTAGATTTCTGTCATGAACTACACAATCGAGAGATCAACATAGTGATTCAGGAGATGGTTTACTAGAATGGAAGGAACGTAAGCAGCAAATGTGCATTTCTAGCATTCCAACTGGCTCACTACTTTTGAAAACTTAAAACTGCATCCCATTGAAAGGGCAGTGGCAGAGTTCACCCCAACAGGTGCTTAAAAAAGGACATCTGTTGAAATCAGACCCGGTGACAGCTTGTATGTCGTCAAGCATATCCTGGCAGCCAGATGATTAAATCTTTAAGGAGCTTGTTATTGAATAATAATTTATGTGTTTGCTGGATTTAGAAATCTCAGATACAAAGAGGGCAAACTCAGAGTATTTTGATAACATTCTATATATTCAAAGTATGGTGTTATTACTTATAATCCTTGAAGACACCTCCAAAATTCTCATATTCAGGAACTGTCAAATGAGGCTGAAAGTACACTTAAACAAGTGGAGTGATTCTCAGCCTTTGTTGTACATCAGAGCTACCAGATCATCTTTTAAAAACACTTAATTTGAGCCCTCTTCACAGACCAAGTGAATCAGAAATTTCTGGAGGTGGTACCAAAACATCTGTATTTTATAAGAGCTGCCAGATGATTTTGATGCACAGTTAGAATTGAAAACTGTAGTTCTAAGCCTTCTGAAAAACCTTAGAAAGTTCCAGAAATCATAGAAGAATTTTGAGGTGGATTAAAATGGGTCAGTAATATAAGTAGCTGCCCAATGATCTGGAGGTGATAAGTTCTTGCAAGAGGGTTGGGCTTTTATACATTGGTCTGGGTTCCTGCCAAGTCTTATAATTATAAGAATGAACAATAGTTCTATAAAAGCTAACATAGCTTAAAAAAAAAAAAGCAACTTTGCCAACAAAAGGCAGATACAGAATCCAAAACTTATAAAGCACTTATTTATTTTTGCATATCTACAGGAAAGACTTAAAGACCTCTTGACTTTGTTTATAGTTATTACCTAGTTAATTACTGATGGCATTTTAGCTAATGGGATGGACATATTAAATTTCATCTCAAATGGTGGCCGTTTTCTCTTTAACCATCAAAATCCACTTAAACATATACTTCCCCATACACTAGAAGCACCAATCACAGTTAAATAAAATATTTTGTATGTCTTAATAAAAAGAGACTGGTAGCATTGTGATCATATTTTGCTAATCTTTGCTAATTACTTTGTTAATATTACTAGGTGAATTTTTAAAATACTACCTAGTTGGGTGATTTTATCTTGTTATTGATAAGATACATTTTGAAGGTGTGTTTGGATAATTGTGCTCCTGATCCTCCATTCTGTTCCTGTTTTTTCAGGTCCTGATTCTTGGGGAAGTCAAATAATATAAGATGTGATCATAGCAGTTTCTCTTTTCCCATCAAGGAAATGTTGTTAGCTGTTTAATATTTTACATGTATTTATTTTTCTTCAATTTATTTTCAGAGACAAGTTATATCTTAATCACAGAGAGACTCTGTACACTTTCCTTTTTTGAATTAATAATCTTTTTTAAAACACGAAAGTCACTGCATGGCCGACCTTTAAAAAGAAGCTAAGCTCTGGATGATTTAGCTTCTTCAGGTATTTAACTGTTTCTGGCTCATAACTGAGAGGGACATTTTCATTTTTTTCCCTTCACTTGGGGATTATTTGAAGAGAATTTCAATCCATTCATTTTATTCTATTTTCTTTACAGTTGATAAACGTTTGAGTGGGGGAAAGTAAATGGTTAAGTAGATGTTGTTCTATTAAACAAACTTCTTGTGCCTGAGGAGGTAAATGTGCAACCCGACTTCCTAACTTACTACCGTAGGGTACTAGGTCCAAGGAATTAGGCTCAGCTTCATGCAATTCCAAACTCCACCTGGGCAAAAGTGTTTATGAGACGACAGTTGCCAAGTGCTAACGGAAATACATTTTAGTAAGAAATACAGTTCCTGATATCTGGTTGCTTAAAATATAAAAAAAGGATAAAGTATGTATCCAATAGCCCTTAATCTGGTTTAGACAATGATTTTTTTTCAAAAAAATTATGGTTATTATTATTATTGCTGTTTTACTATAGAGTTAAAGCTATGAATCCTCTTCCCCAAAGTGCAAATTCTGACATCCTGTTGTCCTTTTACCTACAGGAAGCGTACACAGCCCTAAAATAGGTTAACAACATACATGTAGCTATACAACAAGAGAATACATGTATTGGGTGAAGAAAGCAGAGATAATATATCACTTCTCAAATGGGCCTGATAATAAGATTCATCTGGGCTATGTTGATTAGAAACCACAGACAATTGCTAATCTCTATGGGGTACTCTTTAAATCGTGAAATATTGAGCTTTTATTTTAAGAACTTCTAAAAAGTAACAAAGTTGCCTTCATTTTCACCTCCTCTTTTCATTTCTGCTTATATACCAAAGGAGGTTCCAAAAGCAATGAAAATATAAAGCTGCAGGTATAAAGACGATGAGACCAGGACACCTGTGCATAGTCTAGAAACAGAAGAATGATACCGGAATAACCTCAATCTCTTCCCTCCTCCCACTCCCGCCTCTCTCTTTCGAAAACCACATATTTGCACAGTATTACATTCACATTTCCTTAGGAAATAGATAAGAGCCATTTAGTTTTTATATTTCCACCTCTTCCAATATCACCAGCCTCCAAAAAACCCAAGGAGTAAGAATCAAGTATCATTTATTATTCACTGCCATTGTTCTTCTATCGTTAACATAATATCCAAGAATCAATTTTTTTCATTTCAAATTAACAGAATTTGGATGCTATACCTAACAACTGATCATTATTATAAAGAAGTGAACATCTCTCCCTATATACTGGAAATCAAATATGATGATTCAGCACAGGAAAAAACTTACGAAACTTATAATTTTTTCTTCACTCTGACATTGCAATAGCAGAAATAGCACAGTGTTATTTTTACAAAGCAGACATTATTATATGCACTTTTAAAGTAAAGGCCAAGTGCAAAGTTATGTAATAAGAGCCAATAGAAGAAAAGGCAAGTGTGGCCCTATTTGCTTTAACCCAGCTCATCTGTAATCCAAATTAGTTACAGCAGTGTACTCTTAAGAGTCCCTAAGCATTACATCTTAATCTGCATGTGGATTAGTAGATGTTAGCACCTTGATAGGTGCAAATCAGTTATCATGGTATTGCCTGGACTTGTTTGCTCTTGGGTATACTTTTATTTCCTATTGAATTTAGGCTTATCGATTCTTGGGGAAATCCATAAAAATAAAATGTTTTAGTAAGCACATGTGGACTCTCATCTAGAACTGAGTTTATTTCTTATTTCATAACTGTAGTAGGTAAGATGAGATTCAATTGGACCATTAATGTCTACTCTAAACTTAAAAAATGATATAAGAGAGCATCTTGGCACATAGACAAAAGCTCATGGACTCATGGTCCTGGTTTTGCCAAAGGCTTTGTCCTTCCAAGTCCTGATTTCTTCAATGTCTTGGCCTTTCTAGGAGTATTGACAAATACATTTAATGTAAATAACTATAAATTTGGTGATAACTCAAGTCCGAATCCCAGCTTACTTTAATATTCAGATAAATGTCTAGAAATCCTTTT